CACCGCCTCGTTTACCTCTTCTACTGTCTGGCACGGCGTTACCGCCGGTAAAGTGGATTCAACGCTAGACCTGTATCCTTTCCAGTCGGCCTTGTGGAGTAAGTATTTACTCGCCGGTGGTTTGGCGGGTGTGCCCTCGATCGTGTAAAGCACAGGCCGGTGATCCGACGTTCCATACGGAAGCGCTTGGCAATCCGTAATGGTGTGCAGATCCCTGGTTAATAGCAGGTCCAGCGTTGATGTCCAATCAGGTCGGGCTGAATGCCGGAAAGTGTGTACACCTGGGTGAAAGACGGCCAACCTAGTCTTGGTGATGTACTTCCCCAGTGGATTGTCGCTACCACACAGCCAGGAAGTGTGTCGAGCATTGAAGTCCCCAAGGACTACATGCCGACCCTTCACCTGGGCATGTTGTAGCAGCAGCTTAACAGATGTCAGTCCAGCCCTGGGTCTCCTATAGACACAGGTGAATGTGAACCGACTCTTAAGTCGCACGTCAACTGTGAGTAAGTGAGTTCCCTCGGTTGGTTCCGCTGGGTTCGGGACGGATCTCGAAGGTACATCCTTTCTGACCAGGATGGCTATTTCCTCTCGAGACCCTGGCGCACACACCTCTCGGTATATAATGTACCCCTGGAAGTATGGACGAGTCGAGGTGTGAAGCATGGTGTTTGTCCAACGCCACCACTGAAGGTCTATGCTGCTGAAGAAGGAGCTCGATTTCAGCCTGCTTCTGGAAGAGGCCTCTGGTGTTGAAATTCATGACGAGATGATTAATCATGATGCTTCTTCGTCATAGCATCTAGCATGCGGGCAACTATATCCATCAGCTTGTCCATTCTTGTCAGCATCGTCATCACTAGAGAAGTCAGGGAGGCATCGGTACTTGTTGAAGGCTGAGGCGATTGCGTTGGTGGAGTCTGTTCCTTGAACTGGTGGTGGGGATGAGACTGGTGGTGGGGAGAGGCTCCTTCTGATTGGACCGGCGCTCCTCCGCTTGCTGTGCTGTATGCCAGGCCCTCCTGGACCCACTTACTCTGTTTGCTGGTATTCGTTTTCGTCGGTGTTCCTTTGGTGATTTCCCTAATTTTCTTCACCAACTCCTGTCTCTTCGAGCATTCTTTGGAGGAGGTGGGGTGGGCACCTTTACAGTTTTTACACCAGGGAGGTACTGTCTTCCGGCACTGTTCAAGGGTATGGACACCTCCACACCAGGGGCACGCACATGTTCGGCCACAATATTTCATAGTGTGTCCATATTCTTGACAATTTCGGCACTGTGCTGGGGCCCTATCTTCTTTAAAGATGCTCACACGAAATTTACACTGCGATATGTGATAAAGTTTAGCAATGTCTGTCAGCTTGACCGAGTCGTCTGTAATTATCTGGATCAGCTCGATAGGTTTTGGTGGTTTATTCGGGTTGTATCTCTTTCTGAGTCTTCGGGCGAGCCTGAATCCTGGTAATCTGGTTTTTAACTCCTCGACTATCTCCTCGACGGGGAAATCAATATCGAATCCGTGAAAGAAATATTTTCGAGATCGCTTAGTGCCTCTGGGAGCAAAACTGTGGAATTGTACCCTATTGTCCTGGCGCAACATTAAAGTGGCTTGAAAGTGGTCACTCTCGGAGTTGACATACAGCCGAGTTTCTTTTGATGATGAATGTTATATTATTCTCGATCAGTATATTTTTCAGCGCTGCCTGGGCTATCGGAGATGCTATGATGATTGGCGGCGGTCTGTTTTTCTCCGGTAGATTCACTCTCAACAAGGAAAATTTGTTGGCAATTGGGATCTGAGAAGGCTTTTCCGGGACAGTACGGGCGGGAAACGTGTGGCGTTTGGCTACTGGGGCGTAGCCTTCATTATCCGATCCAAGGCCTTCGCTGTCAGTTTCGTGAATCCTCTTCCCACTTTTATCTTCGGAAGCCTCAGGCTCTGGAATCTCCATTGGAAGATTCTCATTCTGGTTCGCCATCACGAATGAAGGAAGAAAGGAAGTCCGCTTGTCAGCGCGACGCTGCCCTCACTCGAGAGAGTAACTGCTGAGGTTTGGCCCAAGGGATAAGTATGGACCCCAAGAGTATTAAAGGGCGCAAGCTTAACAAGCAGAGAAAGTTAATAGTGCTCTCACGTCACTATCAAAGATAACAACGCCAAAAATATATAATCTGCGAGAACCGAGTTATTAAAATATTATTATATCTAATGTTTTACTATATGATGTGATTGTATTTTTTTTTTTTTTTCCTACCCCCCAGGAATTTCTTGAATAAATACAGTATGTATATAAATGTATATACACATAAATTTTCAACTTTCCTTTTATTGCCCGAGGGCATTTTAAGGTAAGAGGGCTCTGCACGCTGTATGCGTTCTTTGATGTGACTGATGTGAGAACCGCCCTCGGTCTCCTATAGACACAGGTGAACCTGTACCGATGTTTAAATCGCACGTCTACTGTGACTATGTGAGTTCCCTCTGTAGGTTCCACTGGGTTCGTGATGATCTTCGAAGGGACATCTCTTCTGACCAGTATAGCAACGCCTTCTGTCGACCCGCGTGAGCAAACCTCCCAGTATACAGTGTACCAATGGAAGTATAGTCGAGACGAGGGGGGCATCAATGTGTCAGTCAGCGCCATCACCGATGGTCTGTGTTGCTGCAGGAAAAGCTCTACTTCAGCCTGCTTCTGTGCGAGGCCTCTGATATTGTAGGTGCAAACTAGGTGCTCAATCATGTTTTTGTTGGCTCAGCACGGTATTAAGGAGGGTTGTGATGAAGCCCATCATCTGGTCTAACCTCTGGAGCATTCCTTCGACGAGCCTGATGAGCGTTGATTGTTCATTCTTTTTAGACGGCTGGGCTGCTTCTAATGGTGTGGCAGACGGGTGGGGGGAACTCTGGGGGAAGTCATGGTGATGGGGGTGAGCGGGCTGCTGTGATTGGCTGGTTGATCCGCCAATCACCGCTGAGTATTCTAACCCCGACTTCACTAGTTGACTTGGTTTCCGTGTAGGGGGTGGCGTGGTTATCTCCTCTTTCTTCTTCTTTTGGTTTCGACGTTGGTCAATAATCTTCTTTCGGTAGGAGCATTCTTTTGAAAACGCTGGATGCTCTCCTTTGCAGTTTGAGCAATAAGGTTTAACATTCTTGGGGCATTGTGCCAGCAGGTGATGATCTCCGCACCATGCACAATGGCATGTACGGCCACAATATTTCATTGTGTGACCGTATTCCTGGCAGTTTCTACATTGTACAGGTCCAATATCTTCTTTAAAGGAGGTCACTCTAAATTTGATCCTGTTGATAGCTCCAAGGTTTCGTATATCTTCTATTTTTACAAAATGATCTACTATTATCTGAATGGCTTCGATGTCATATCTTTCACCATTCGGGGCTTGTTTTGTTAACCTTCTAGCGAGTCTGAAGCCTGGTAGTACTCTTTTTAACTCATCGATTATGTCTTTGACGTCGTAATCTACATCAAAGCCATAAAGGACAAATTTTTGGGTTCTTTTGGTTCCACGGGGGGCAAAGGTGTGGAATTCTACCTTTTTCTCACGTAGAAGTGCCTGGAGAGCTGTGTTATGATCCACCTCAGTAGCTAGGTACAATCTGGTTTCTTGCTTAGAAGAATTGGATGAGTATTCCTCTATGTTGAGCTCTCTTAGTAGAGTTCTCAGCGATGTCAGTGAAATAGGTGGTTTGATTATGATGGGTGGAGGCGGTCGGATCTTTTCATGTTGGGTAACATCTGGTTCCTGCGGCGCAAGAGCCTCGTAGCGGTTTGAAACCGGAATTCCAACAGGTACGGTGACCTCTGCGCGGCCCTTTATCTGGTGTCGCTTTGGTGGCTCTTGGTAAACTTCGGCACCTCCTGATCTTTTCTCGCCCCTCGCATCCTCCTCAGCCTCCATATGGGTGTCGTGGGAGGCCATCACGTTGGGGTCTCCTTACCAGAGCGATGCTGCCCGTTTAGCTGTCAAGGTTAGTTCCAAGTGATATGAATGGACCCCAACAGCGTAAAGGCGCAATCTAAGTAAGGAGCTGGCAATCTGGCAATAGAAATCTTCAGTAGAGGTCCTGCTTCTGCTGCCAGCTAGTAAAATAACTGTTTGATGTGTTCGTGTGGTTTATCACCACCACCAAAAATATTTAACAACACAAACGCTATTAATTGCACGGGTAGAGCAATAGTAATAGCGTAGTTTACATAGTTTTTTTTATCCTGATGTGATTGTTTTTGTTTTTTTTCCTACCCCCCAGGAATTTCTTGAATAAATACAGTATGTATATAAATGTATATATACATAAATTTTCAACTTTCCTTTTATTGCCCAAGGGCATTTTAAGGTAAGAGGGCTCTGCACGCTGTATGCGTTCTTTGCATCTGTGGCCAGGGGCCTTTTATTATACCACTGGGCGTGGAGGGACCGCCCTGCATTAATTTATTATTTATATTATTGTTAGTGGGTGTGAACTACAGAGTCCAAACCCCTTCCCTCGGCGAGAACATCAACCAAGGGGACTTTACCTTGCCACCTCCCAGGCCTGGGCGGCGGTACTATTTCCTGGAAAAGCGGGTTAGCACAGACCTTCAGCCCATCGAAAAATTTGACGTGCCTTCGGCCTATGAACTCAGGCACCGATGGGAGCTGAAGCTCCTCTCGGATCTTTACATTCTTTGCCCTTTGCAGGGTGGTACCTGATGTGATTGAAATCAATAATTAATATTTAACTAATAAATGTGATGTTTTTCTGCGAGAGCTTGCAATAATATAACAACATTTATTTTGATTTTTTATTTGATTTATTACAATGATTTTTTATATGTAAAATAAAATATTATACGTTCGCTAAAAATTGTTTATATAATAGAGAACATTTAAATTCTTATTTAGTTAATTATTCCTATATTTTATTTAAAAAATTATATTTTAAATAAAATTTTAATGTAATTGTTGTCAAAGTGTTTCCACGTTTCCATAGATTTTTAAATTAAAAATTTCTGATTATTAATAAAAATTATCACTCTTCCTCTTAAATTTGCCTTATATAGACGTATGAAAATGCTAAAAAAGGTCATCCTTTCCACCATCGCGATTGCTGGGGCTGGGACTGCCCTCTGGTTCCTCTACAAGAGGAGCAGCTCCAAAGAGAAGGAAGAACTAGGTCTCGAGCCGCAAGTAAGTGCCTTATCTGTTACAGCTATATTTTCTAAAACTCTTTTGTAATGTATATTTGAGTTTTAAATAAAGATAAATATAAATATAATACAATTTTTTTTAATCTAACCTTAAATATTATATTTTAAAATAAACTACACCAATTTTAGTTTATTCTTTTTTTTCGATAACATTTCGATCCCTTCTTTTTTTATACGAACAATGTTGTTCAACATGCATGGAACTATATCTGCAAGCTAAATTACATACAAAGTTAATAAATATGATATACTAAAATACTAACTACAATAAATATAATAACATTCACAATAAAAAGAAACTAACGACTAAAACAATCTATCAAAATAACAATGTGCATACAAATAACTAAAATAACAATAATAACATGCGCATGCTAGCTAGGTATATTTCTATGAGAAAATAATAACACAGGAAATAAATAGTCCAACTCCCAAACAGACGTCAACTTTCCAAAAGTATCTTATCGTCCTAGCAAGATATCCCCCACTGAAAAGAAACAACTATATAATTTCTCTATGTCAATTGATTCATAAGGTCGATATGAAATCGATAATGATGATGACCTCTCATTACTGAACTACAGAAGATAGTTTAGTTTGCATGTGAAAGGTACCAGTAAATGTGTCACCTGCTCGTGGGGATTTATCCTAACAAAGGTGTATTCTTCTGTTGGCTTCTTTATCACAGAATGCAGTGCTAACATGGGAGACATTCACTAGTGCTAACCTTCACCATTTTTCGGACCTCCCTACGGTTTCCTCAACTCAGTGTTGCCACCGGTCATAGTTCGCAGCTCCAATCCTCCAATATAGCCCCCCCCCCCTCCCCTCTCACACTGGTATTGAAACTATTTTAAAAACTTTTTTTTATTTAACCATAAGCAGCCGTTTTAATTATTTCCTTGTGATCATTAGCTGGTCATAGTTCTTTTGGTATCGCATATACATTATATTCACCATTGGATATAGAAGTTATGGAATAAACGTTTGACTTATCATCACTTCCAGCAAATAACGTTCTTTGTTGTTTCGATGTCTAGGCGCAAAACATCCAGGTCATCAGCGACCGATCAACTAAATAACACTATAACGTATAACCTAAATAACACAAATAACGTAAAATCAAAAGAACAAATTTCGTAAACAAAAACGTTGCTTTGTACCTAAAGAAAAAACATTTAAAGTGTTTCTTACAATCTATGAAATCATCTTTTTTAACAATACATGTTACAATATGTTAGCACAATTTTAAAATGTTATCAATTCACATATGTTATCATATAACTTTCCTTTTGGAGCTAGACTAAATTCAGTAATAAGAAAAATTACATTTAATTAAATTTGTTAAATAGACTGTGATATTTATATATGATATATACATATATGATATATTTCACTCCTGTGATATTGTGCCTCAATTCTAAAATGTGTTTGACAACGAATAAAGATTTATTAGTATTTGTAATTTAAATAAAAATATATTGAAATATTGCCCAACAATATTATTGACAATCACACGTGCGCGCGCGCACGCATACACAAACTAATTTATTTATTTATTTAATACTTTTGTTTTCTTAAAAGCCTCCTGCATCAGAAGACGAAGCTCAGGAATTGGTAGAACAAAGGAACATCGCAGTTCAAGGTGAAACAAAACCGAGTGTAAAAAGAATGGTAATTATAAACTTCTTATTTTATAATTTAAAATGGAATTTTATTTATTTATTTAAACATAAAATAATCTGTCTCGTAGGCAATATTAAGTAATTCTTGGAAAATATAAAGCTAATGAATATAAACATTATATTTTATGTTATATATTTAATACTTATAAATGAAATGTAAAAGTAATCGTTATCATGATCTATTTATTTTTTTAGATTGATTTCATCGAGAGAAACAACACAGGAATGGCGAATTTGTGTAGAAATTCGTCAAGGAAACCAAATCAATTATGTTAAATATCATATTTTTATAATCGAAGTTTTTCAAAATTTTCAAAATTTCAAGTTTATAATATTGAAATATTTTTCCAAATGTTAGTATGTTTCCATTTCCATAAATATACCTTAATATTATGGCGCAGAAAATCATCATTAATTAAAGTATTTTTGTTTCAGCTAATGATGAAATTTCTTCAGTTGATTCTCCGATTTCCTAAATTGATGAATAATCAATCATTGTTTTACATCTGTTTTCTTTCTCTACCAAATCCTTTGTAATTGCAGTTAGAGGTGGCGGCGGAAGTAAGGTAACATATTTAGTTAGCCTATTTAGTGGCACGGAGAACGTATATTAACGACAATCGAGGGAAGATTGAGTAGTCGTTGGGGGTATTGAGGTAGATTTTTATTTAAGGTTAGTAGACTTTTCAAGGGCAATCTAAAGGTGGAGGGAGGTTGAAAACTAGCGGGGGGGTGGTGGGTTAGAGACGAGGTTTGTAGTCATCGTTCTTATTTTATGGTAATGTCTGTAGAGTGGGGGAAATCTATTTAGTGGCGCGGAGAACGCATATTAACGACAATCGAGGGAAGATTGAGTATTCGTTGGGGGTATTGAGGTAGATTTTTATTTAAGGTTAGTAGACTTTTCAAGGGCAATCTAAAGGTGGAGGGAGGTTGAAAACTAGGGGGGGGGTGGTGGGTTAGAGACGAGGTTTGTAGTCATCGTTCTTATTTTATGGTAATGTCTGTAGAGTGGGGGAAATCTATTTAGTGGCGCGGAGAACACATATTAACGACAATGAAGGGAAGATTGAGTAGTCGTTGGGGGTATTGAGGTAGATTTTTATTTAAGGTTAGTAGACTTTTCAAGCGCAATCTAAAGGTGGAGGGAGGTTGAAAACTAGCGGGGGGGGGGAGGGGGGTTAGAGACGAGGTTTGTAGTCATCGTTCTTATTTTATGGTAATGTCTGTAGAGTGGGGGAAATCTATTTAGTGGCGCGGTTAACGCATATTGACGACAATCGAGGGAAGATTGAGTAGTCGTTGGGGGTATTGAGGTAGATTTTTATTGAAGGTTAGTAGACTTTTCAAGGGCAATCTAAAGGTGGAGGGAGGTTGAAAACTAGCGGGGGGGGGGTGGTGGGTTAGAGACGAGGTTTGTAGTCATCGTTCTTATTTTATGGTAATGTCTGTAGAGTGGGGGAAATCTATTTAGTGGCGCGGAAAACACATATTGACGACAATCGAGGGAAGATTGAGTAGTCGTTGGGGGTATTGAGGTAGATTTTTATTTAAGGTTAGTAGACTTTTCAAGGGCAATCTAAAGGTGGAGGGAGGTTGAAAACTAGCGGGGGGGGAGGGTGGGTTAGAGACGAGGTTTGTAGTCATCGTTCTTATTTTATGGTAATGTCTGTAGAGTGGGGGAAATCTATTTAGTGGCACGGAGAACGTATAGTAACGACAATCGAGGGAAGATTGAGTAGTCGTTGGGGGTATTGAGGTAGATTTTTATTTAAGGTTAGTAGACTTTTCAAGGGCAATCTAAAGGTGGAGGGAGGTTGAAAACTAGCGGGGGGGTGGTGGGTTAGAGACGAGGTTTGTAGTCATCGTTCTTATTTTATGGTAATGTCTGTAGAGTGGGGGAAATCTATTTAGTGGCGCGGAGAACGCATATTAACGACAATCGAGGGAAGATTGAGTAGTCGTTGGGGGTATTGAGGTAGATTTTTATTTAAGGTTAGTAGACTTTTCAAGGGCAATCTAAAGGTGGAGGGAGGTTGAAAACTAGGGGGGGGGTGGTGGGTTAGAGACGAGGTTTGTAGTCATCGTTCTTATTTTATGGTAATGTCTGTAGAGTGGGGGAAATCTATTTAGTGGCGCGGAGAACGCATATTAACGACAATCGAGGGAAGATTGAGTAGTCGTTGGGGGTATTGAGGTAGATTTTTATTTAAGGTTAGTAGACTTTTCAAGGGCAATCTAAAGGTGGAGGGAGGTTGAAAACTAGCGGGGGGGGGGTTAGAGACGAGGTTTGTAGTCATCGTTCTTATTTTATGGTAATGTCTGTAGAGTGGGGGAAATCTATTTAGTGGCGCGGGGAACGCATATTGACGACAATCGAGGGAAGATTGAGTAGTCGTTAGGGGTATTGAGGTAGATTTTTATTGAAGGTTAGTAGACTTTTCAAGGGCAATCTAAAGGTGGAGGGAGGTTGAAAACTAGCTGGGGGGGAGGGGGTGGTGGGTTAGAGACGAGGTTTGTAGTCATCGTTCTTATTTTATGGTAATGAATGTAGAGTGGGGGGAAGAAGCGTAAGTCTTAAATCTGGTATGTTGTTCTGATCAAAGATTAACTCTTATTTTATTTGTGAACCTTGTACCAATTCTTAATAAATCATTGATTTACATCCTTTTTCTTTCTGTACCATATCCTTTGTGATTGCAGTTAGAGGTGGCGGTGGAAGTAAGGTAATATATTTAGTTAGCCTATTTAGTGGCGCGGAGAACGCATATTAACGGCAATCGAGGGAAGACTTGAGTCGTCGTTGGGGGTATTGAGGTAGATATTTTATTTAAGGTTAGTAGAGTTTTTTTAAGGCATATGTGGGAGGAAGAGGTTATTTTAGGTGTGTATTGGAGACATAGGTTCTTTGAAGCATAAGTTAAAAAAATAGGTTCTTTGAGATGTATTCTGATATTAGAGAAGTCATTGAGGGATTTTAAGAAATTCGTAGATTGAAAGTAGAGAAGAATCTTGAAAGTACTCTACACTAAAGATTTTTCAAGGGCAATCGAGAGGGGAAGAGTGGTTGAAAAATAGTTTGGGGGGGGCGGTGGTGGGTTTAGAGACGAGTTTTGTAGTCATCGTTGTTATTTTAGGGTAATGTCAGTAGAGTGGGGGAAATCTGTTTAAACTATTTAAAAAAAAATAGTGTGGTGGCTTAGATTATCTTTTTTTCTTCATTCATACTTAAATAAGGCACAAATTTAATAGGAGGAGTCAAATTTCTGTCGTAGAGAAGCGGCGATACCATCGCCCGGTCGCGAGGCTGCAATTAGACCCTGGTCCTCCAGCATGGAAGAAAGGTACAGTACACTGACACTCAGACAGTACACAAGACCCCGCACACCACACACCCTCGACAGCCACAGACAAAGGCCATCATCAGTACACACCCAAGGGTCACCTCCCCTTGGTGGCCGCCCCGGACGGGGGAGCAGGTCAGGATGCTCTGAGAAGACAGCCTCTTCACCTGACTCGGGGGCAGTAGGTCGATAACCCACTCCTCTTAAGACATTATATTAATGATAGTGAATGATCCTCCAAATCAGTCTCAATTTTATTGTATCACTTGAAGAAAATTTCAATGCTTTGCTCCGTATTTATTTACAAAACAGTACGACAGTCAATTATTGGAAAGAGACAAAAAAGACGAACGGCATCTAGGTGGGTATATACAGATTAGAATAGCAGAGAATATGGTGCAAAGCAATGAAAGCTTCTTGAAGTGATATAATAAACTTGATGTTGATTTGAATGGCAATTCACTATCATTGAAGAATCAATTATTCATGGCAGTAGATAACTGTTGCCTGTTAGAAGATATTGTTGAAGAGAAGTTGTTTAGAGATTGTCATTGGGAGTAGGAAGTAAAAATGTGTAAATTATAAATTTCAACAATATAATTTATTTATTTTTACTTTCCATTTGTAATTATTGCAATCCCCAACCAACTTCTCTTTAACAATTAGTTATTTAGTCTACCTCATCATTATCATCTTCCTTGGCTGGCTCAAGAGTTGCCCTCCACCTTTCTCTTTCCTCAGCAGTCGTCAACCAGTTTATGATTCCAAGAATTCTGGCATCGACACTTACTACACCTATCCATCTCAACTTCGGTCTATCCACTTTTCTTATATTACTCTGATCTATGCTGAGAAGATTCTTTTTTGGAGTTGAGGTCTAGTTCATCCGTAATGGTATTCGTTTAGGGTCGTTAAAGTCCATGTTTCACACCCTTTAAGAGGTCATAATGGCGTCTTTTTGTGACAACAAATCTTTCCTTTATCACGTATCATTATTATTCTTGCACTCTTACATGGCAGCTGGTGTCCGTCTGCTATATATTTTTTTTTTTTTTTTCGCCACCATTAAGTCTACAAAAAGCATTTGTATATTGGTGATGTATTCTCCAAGATCTGTCTTAAAGTAAACAACTGGTCGGCGATGGACTTTCTCCTAGTAAAGGCAATCTGATATTGTACCAACAATCTCTCCGCTAGAGGACGTAACTTGTTAATGAGAGTGTAAGAAAATATCTTATTAATTGTAGAGAGGAGTGTGATGTCCGTATAGTTGTCACAGTTGAAGGGAACGCCCTGTTTTAGTATGGAGCATATAATACCAGTTCTTCATTCTTCTGGTATAACTTCCTCTACCCAAGCATGCATTATAAGATTATGCAATCTATATATAATTTAAGGTCATACATATCTAAGGATATCGGCCAGCAGGCCATCAATCCCTTTCCAAAATACCAATCTTATCTGACATCAGATCGCTCTCTATATTCCAAATCTGACTTATCCTAGGCATATAAGGATTCAGTCTACCTCTTATAAGAAATCAGTTTGAGAAACATCTTATAAGTCTGGAAACTGGACAGATATATGATAACTTGGCGAGAAACGGTCTATGAATTTTCTAACTGACATAAAATGAACACAGCCT